ATTAGTAGCTCATGATGTGAAGACGGATGACTTTTATTCTGTTGTCTCAGAGAAAGTCCTCTCTGGGTAGATAGATGGTTGAGAGAGCCCAGTGATACTCTGGAAGTTATCTCAACAGGAACCTTAGGCTCTCCAAAAGGCCGACTTGTTTCTAAGAAAGTCTTTGCTAAAATTAAATAGTAGGCCTTTGTTCTGTTGATGTGTTTCCAAAAAAACGATCACAATGGATGACTTTTAGTTTGAACCATCTATTCTTCAGGATCATGCTTTTCCAAAAATAAAAAAAAATCACGATGGATGGCTTTCGGCTTGAACCACCTATTCTTCAGGATTCTGATCAGTTACACTCCAGGTTGATTGTATTCATCAACCGTGTGCGACCATTTTTGTTGTTACTTAATTAAAGTTCAATCTCTGATGGTGTAACTGTCGCATGTGAATTTTCTGGCCGTAGACTGTTAAACTAGTATAACCTCACATCCACGTTTCTTCATGAAGTCAGTTCTAATATACAATCTTTCTTTATCTCTTTCTTTATAACAGTTACCCCCAATATGTTATATAGAAAAGTAAGGGAGACTTTCAACTTTTATCCTGTTGAAACTTATTTCCACTTGCCGTTAATATCAGTCAATTTTCTTTCTTAATTTCTCGAGGCAAGTTTCTATCTTTTCTTACCAAATTAGGTCGAACTATTGTAGCTGTAGAACCAATGTTGATAAACAAATTTTCCCATCAATAAACCATATGACCTGTAAATAATGTACTCTTTACTTATGTCTGGGTAGATGGAGCACTCCCATTCCTAAAGATTTCGTTTCCTTGGTCTGGTATAAGTGACTGTTTCACCACATTGTAGTGTCCGCATTTTCCACACTTATAGGAATTTCCTTCTACCATCACCTTGTGGGAGCAGTTTCTTGTAAGTTGCAATTGAAACAACTTCTGCCGTATGGTTTCCTTCTTGAAACACCTTCTGTCGTATGGTTTACTTCTTGAAACACCTTCTCTTGTGTGGTTTTACTTGTTGAAACACATTTTTTCGTATGGTTTGCTTCTTGAAACACCTTCTGCTGTATGGTTTACTTCTTCAAACACTTTCTGTTGTATGGTTTACTTCTTGAAACACCTTCTGTCCTATGGTTTACTTCTTGAAACACTTTCTGTCGTATGGTTTACTTCTTGAAACACCTTTTCTTGTGTGGTTTTACTTGTTGAAACAC